ATCTTCTGGGTTTTGCTGTTGTAATAATGACCATCCTAAAGGGTATTTCCTTGTGGGTTTTGTTTTTAAAGATTTATTTATTTATACATACAGAGCTGGGGTACAGGCCAGAGGTGCAGGGGTGGTGAGAGGCTTCACCAGAGACTGAGTGGGGAGAAGAACAGGTACATTGGCTGAAATACTCTGCTGAGGGGAGCAGTGGGCATGTCAGGAGCAGTCTCTGTGCATGTGGGTCAGCTCCCTGGCTGGGGATCCGACTCATGCTGAAGTGGCTGCTGTTAGCTTCATTGTGCTGTGCTTTCAGCCCTTGCACTACCAGGAAGGTCCCCTCTCCCAGTGGTTTGGCTTTGCATTCTTCTAATAATTAGGGATAGTGGCTTCCATTCATGTACTGACTGGCCATCTATATACATCTTTTATTGAGAAATGTCTTTTTGACTCCTTTCTCATGTGGAAAATTTTACTGCTTTGTTTCTGAGAGTTCTGCTATCATCTTTACCTTTGTTCCTCTATAAATAATATGTTTACTTTTCTGTAGGTTTTCAAACATTTTCTCCTTATTGCTGGTGTGGAAAGTTTGATTATGATGTGTCTTGGCTGTGTTAAGCACCTAGATTCCAATGTTCATAAAATAGAGGCAATAATAGAATTTATGGCAATAGACCTGGAGTCTCAATAGTCAGGAAGCAGAAAAATACTTGAAGAAATAATGTCTAACACCCTATGTTTAGTGAAAACTATAAGCCTATAGATTCAAAAAGCTAAGGAAGATGAAGAAACTATTGGGCCTCCCTGATGGTGAAAGGGGTTAAGTCTCAGCATTTTGAAGCTGTCGGCAGCCACTGCAGCACAAGTTTGATCTCCGGCCAGGGAGCTGACCTACATAGGGAAGCAGACCTCTCCTGACCTGCCTGCTGCTCCTCTCAGCAGTGTATTTGAGTAGATCTGCCTGTTTTGTTCCCTACTCTGAGTCTGGTAAATCCTCTCACCCTGTACCTCTGGCCTGTATCCTAGTTCTTGTATACATAAATAAATAAATAAATCTTTTTGAAAATGATCCCATAAAGTTGTGTATGAATTCTTGATCTCACCTCTAAGCAATGCAGGTGTGAACAGGACTCTTAAGTTGTGCAACAAAGGCTATGAGAACTGAGGGTGTAGTAAACCAACTCCCAGGCCTAAGCTTGATCATTGAGTGATGCACATGCATGCAGGACAGATGTGAATAGCACTGCAGAAGTTTCAGAAGCTGAACTAGTGAAACCACAATTCATAGAAGGTTGGTAGGCCATGGTGAGTTACAGCTAACTGGATTAAGGCTTCCATGCAAAAGAATGAAACTTGACCAACATCTTACACCTCACATACAGAAAATAAGTTCAAAGTGGAGGAAGGACTTAAATAGAAAGCTTGAAACCAAAAAAAAAAAAAAAAAAAAAAAAAATCAGAGAAGAAAACATAGAAAGTAAAGTCTGGGCCCTCCTTGGTGATGCAGTAGGTTAAAGCACAACACTGGAAGCTAGTCACAGCTGCTTCAGTGCAAGTTCAATCCCCCGCCGGGGAGCTGACCCACAGTAGACCTTTCCTGTCCTGCCTGCTGCTTCTCTCAGTAGTGTGATTCATTGATCTGCCTGTTCTGCCTCCCACTCTGGCTCTGGTGAATCCTCTCACAGCCCTGCACCTCTGGCCAGTACCCCAGTACTGTATGCATAAATAAATAAAGTCTATGACATCAACCTTCAAGCTGTCTTAGTGGATTCAACAAAAGCAAAAAACAAATAGTACTACATAATAAAAGAAACTATTGTCAAAACAAAAATGTAGGCCTTTCAGGTGGTACAAGAGGTTAAGTCTCAGCACTGTGGTGCTATAGGCAGCCACAGCAGGATGAGTTTGATCCCTGGCCAGGGAGGTGACCTATATGGCACATCAGACCTCTCCTGTCTTGCCTGCTGCTCCCCTCAGCAGTGTATTTCAGTCAGTCTACCATTTTCTGCTCCCCACTCTGTATCTGGTGAATTCTCTCACGTTCATGCATCTATGGTCTGTACCCCAGCTCTTGTATGCATAAATAACTCTTTAAAAGCAAAACAAAACAAAACAAGGCAATCTACCCAGTGGGACAATATATTTACAAATCACATAGCTGAGAAGGGATTAATATCCCAAATATATAAACAATCCACACAACTCAACAACAACAACCAAACAATCCAATTTTAAAAAAGGGCAGTAGGTCTAAATAGTTCACTAAAGAGAACACATAGATGGCAAATGGACACATGAAAAGATGCTCATTATCATTCATCCTAAGGGAATGCAACTCAAAACAAGGAGGTATCACCTTGCACTAATTGCAATGGCTGTTATTAAGAAGATAAGAAGCATGAATTTGTGAGGTTCTGGAGTGAGAAAAGGGAATCCCTATACACAGTAGTGGAATGTCAAGTGGGGCAGCCAGTATAATAAACAGTCTAGAGATATCTCAAGCAATTAAGACTAGAAATACCACATGATCCACATACTCCACTTCTAGGTATTTCTGCAAAGAGCACAAAAATACTAACTCAAAAAGATATATGCACCCTTATGTTATTTGTAGCATTATTCACAACAGTCAAGATATGGAAACAAAGTAAGTGCCCATTGGTGGAGGAAGTGAATGAAGATGTGGTTTAGAGACACAGTGGAATACCATTCAGTTATATATGTGTATATATGGTCTGCCCATGTTATCCCTAATGGCAAGGTTTCATCTTTACATAGAACAAAAACTTTATTTGACTCAAAGACAATTTTCTGTTTCAGATTTACACATTCCAAAATTCCCTCTATATACCAAAGTCCAAGCATGGAGTTCTTTCTGAGGTTTGTTGCAAAACCTATGTGGATAAGAAATTTTAAAATTTATAGCAATTTTCAAATATTGATAGAGCATGATTAAGTCTAGTCACCAAGCTAACATTACACCCCTGACTTATCTGCTTTATAACTGGAAATCTGGTACCTTTTGACCTCTTTCATCCATTTCCTTATCCGCCTCCTGCCTTCAGCAACCACCAGTCTGATCTTTGAGTTTTGGTTTCTGTTATTTTTTAGATTCCACATATAAGTGAGATCATGTGGTATTCATCCTTCTCAGTCTGACTCATTTCACTTAGCATAATGTCCTCAAGTCCCATCCATGTTGTTGTACATGGCAAGATTTCATCTTTTTTTTATGACTGAACTATTAATATACCATTGTATGTATGTACACACTCATATTTATTTACCCATCCATCTATCAATAGACACTAGTGTAGCTTCTATATCTTGGCATTTGGAGATAATGCTATATTGAATATGGGGGTGCATATTTTCACAGTGGCTACACCAATTTACTTTACTACCCACCGGGCCCAGGGTCTCTTTTCTCTACTTTCCAAGACTTTCTTTCTTTCAATTTTGATAATAGTAATTCAAACTGGTGTGACGTAATAGCTCACTATGATTTTGATTTTCATTTCTCTGCTGCTTAGTGACACTGGACATCTTTTCATGTACCTCTTGGTCACCTGGATGTCTTTTTCAGAAAAATGTCTTTCATATCTTCTGCTTAATTTTAAAATTGGATTTCTGAGAGCCCACTGGTTTCTACTAGTGGCTTTAATGGTGCTATTCCTCACAGGAAGGTCTCTGTTCCCAGACACAGGTCCTTGGGTTTCTTACCTCAGGAGAGCAGCAGATCGCAATCGTTCCCCAAGGATGATTCCACCATGCCTGTCCACCTCACAGCCTTCCCAGGCTACCAGGGGACATGACCCATAATGTCCACAGGGTGGATAGCTGGATAGCTGGGATCAACTGTGAACGGTGGCAGCTGTGACCAATGTGAAGACTACCATGCTGGTGGGGGGCATTGTGGCCTCCATGGAAACCCTTCAGGGCTTCTAAGGTTCCTTTAAGACCATCTTTGCTGAGCATATCAGTGCTGAGAGCAAAGGCACATCTATAAGAGGAAGGCTCTCATCAAATACTATAAGAAGTGGCAGGATGAAGACAGAAAGAGGGAGCTGGAGGACTTCAGCAGCACGAATCAGTTCTGCCAGGACAGCCTGTCGTTACTCACATCCAGGTGTACCAGAAGGCCCACCTCATGGAGGTCCAGGTGAACAGCGGCGTCATGATCGAAAAGCTGGATTGGGCCTGAGAGTGACTAGAGTAGCAGGTCTGGGTGAACCAAGTGGTGGGCAGGATGAGATGATTGATATCATTGGGGCGACTGAAGGCTAAGGCTACAAAGGGGTCTGCAGTGACTAGCATAGTAAGAAACTGCCCCCCTCTCCCCTAGACCCATAAAGGGCCGTGCAAGGTTGCCTGAATCAGGACTTAGCATCCTGCAGGGCAGAAGGGCTTCCATTACTATGCTGAGATCAAGCAGGTTTACAAGACTGACCAGGGCTTCCTTATCAAGGACAGCAAAGTAATCAAGAACAATGTCTTTGCTCATTACAGTCCGATAAGAGCATCAACAGCCTGGAAGCTTTGTCCGCTACAGTGAAGTGACCCACAGGACTTTGTCATGTTGAAAAGCCATGTGGTGGGAACCAAGAAGCAAGTGCTCACCCTCTGCAAGCCCTTGCTGGGCAGACCAAACAGCGGGCCCTGTAGAAGATGGGCCTGAAGTTCATCGACACTGCCTCCAACTTTGACCTCGGTGGCTTGCTTTTTGTCTTTTTGTCTTTCCTAAACGTGACTTTAGGATGGCAGGCACCCTCAAGAAATGTGCTCAATTAATGTTGGAGATACAGCCTTGCTCGTTGGAAGGGCACTTCTCCATCCTCTTGGCTGCAGTTAGAGGTGCGAATCCCCCAGCTAAGGTGGGCTGCACCGGGGTGGGCGGGGGGAGGGGAAGGAGAAGCGGCCCTGGACGGCCTTCGAAGCCACGCCCCCGGCCCGCCTCTTTGAGGACGCCTGTCTCTTTAAGGGCAGCCGGGTGGGGCGCGCGCGCAGCCTCGCTGTGGGGCCGGGGCCTGCGCGCTCCCGCCCCGCGCGCCCCTAGCGCCTTGAGCTCGGTGCACCCACCCGGCAGCGGTTTCTGCTTCAAAGTGGTCATGTCTCCCAGCCGGGCCCAGCGGGGCGGCGCGGCCCATGCCCGGGCGCCCGCTGCCGGCGACCGCGAAGGGCCATGATCCGGCTGGGTGGCTGGTGTGCGCGGTGGTCCCGCGGCTCGGCGGCCCCGGCGGGGCGGCGCTGGGAGTCCGGGGGCCCGGCGGGCCAGGGGGGCAGCCGCGCCCTGCGGGTGCTGGTGGACATGGACGGCGTGCTGGCCGATTTCGAAGGCGGTTTCCTCAGGAAGTTCCGCGCACGTTTCCCCGATCTGCCCTTCATCGCGCTGGAGGACCGGCGCGGCTTCTGGGTGTCAGAGCAGTACCGCAGCCTGGGACCCGAGCTGAGCGTGAGCTTCCCCTGCCCTCCAGCCTCTCGCGCCCCCCCTGCCTTTCCCGCCCCGGACCGGCACCCACCTGGGCCGGGAAACTGAGGCCTGCCTCCCCAGCCCCGGCATTAGGAGCCCGCGCGACCTTGAGCGGGTCACCGCCGCTGACTCAAGGTGGTCCTGGGAGCCGGGACTGAGCCGAGCCTGCGTGCGCTCTCGGCTGTCCTGGGGGGCGTCTCCAAATACACCTAACTCTCCATCGTCAGCCGACTTAAGTGTTTGGGGGTAGATTTGGCTTCTTTTATGTTTGAATAAAATAAACATGACAAGTCGAGTCCTCTGACCCATGCGGTAGTCACATTCCCATTTCTTCCTCTTGAAATTGATGCTTGCTTCCTACCGGTCTTTTTTTTTCCCCCCACCCGTTTGCATGAAAGCAAGCTCCCATTGGTGTTTGAAACACAGAGGCTGAGTTACTTTCTGGCCAGAACAGGGAGTCAGAGGTCAAGGTGGAATGGGATCATCTGTTGGTCTTATCCCCTTGTTCTGCTGATCCTGCTGAACAGCTGAGCCCCCAGACCTCTGGGACTCGTACTATGCCCTGCTCTCTGAGTCAGTGATGGATTGGGGGAGACAGGCAGAGGGTTGTCCAGGTAGGTTTGCAGAAAGCTCGCTTGTAAATTTAAACTATTTTGTGAAAGGATAGGGTATTTTATTATGCACCGATAAAGGCTAGGCGTTTTCTGGCATCCTTGATGGGCCACTTAAGGTCACTGTCAGATAATTTCATGATGATATTAGAGTGTTTTGTAACCATCGCTTAAGATGGCATTATCTCCTCCGTGATATAGACATTACCTCCTCTATGCAGGCGGTGAAACTGGCCCAATGTGCACAGCTAATAAGGGACTCAGCCAGCATTCGGACTCAAGCTGTCTGCCTCCCAGACACCTTTGGCCTCCCCCACTTCAAAGTTCTGCTCTGTGTCCTGCTGTCTCTAATAGGTGACATTTCTTTTAACTTAAAAAGGAACTTTGAGATATTTTGGTTTGTTGAGTGGCAGATATTAAAAAGGAAATTAAGAGTCATATGTTTCCATTACTACCAGGCACTTCAGAGAAGGCTTTCTCAGAGTCCCTTGCGCTGACTTCTCTCAGTGCTGATGTCTTATTAAAAACTTGAAACCAGAGCAAGCACCATAGTAATTTTTGAAGTCTCAGAACATATGTTCCTGGCTCTACTTGTGTTCGTTTATAAGCGTTGGCCAACATTGGCACTTTGGGTATCTTATTTCCTCCCACAAACTTATTCAGGTTATGAAACTAAGCTTAACCCCAATTCTGAAAAGGACAGTGGCTTCCGCCCTTCGTATAACTGTACGAACTCCAGGTTTAAGGAGATGAGTTGCCATTTTCCAACTACCAGGCAAAGGAACAGAGCTCCTGGGGCAGTCAGGAGCTCTGCACGGGGGCTGATCTCATTTTTCCTGCTGCTGGGAACATTGCAGGAAGCGGAATTTGACAGGTGAACACATGCATGTTACCCCCAGCACGGCTCAAACTAGGACACCCCCTTCTTGCCCAAGCTGGCCCAGCATCTGCGGTTAACAACAACCAACTGACTTACTCAACTTCCATGTGTAAGCATTTCTACTTTTAATCCATATTTTCTTTGCTTTTGACAGTGCTCTGAGAGGTAAACAAAGCATAGGAGGGAGGCAAAGGTCATTTTAACGAATTTAGAATCTTGCAGTATTCAGACAGTTGAGGAGCTGAGCCTGGAGAGAGGGTTTTGGAGCAAGTCAGTGAAGGTGGGATGGCAGGGATGCCGGGGCCTTGGTCACTGAGGGGATGTGGTCAGCCCAGGAGGATACAAGTGCAGAACTTCTGACCTCTAAGTCAAGCATGCTTTCTGTCAGTGCCACCCTGTCTCCGGGTGAGTGAGAAGCCCAAGTTCAAATTGTCTTTCATATTGGCCTTGAAAAAAAAATCTGTGTGCCTCAGTTTCTGTATCTGTAAATTGGAGGGGGCAACTCTTGCCCCTTGTGGGATGTGAGGGTCATGCAAGAGATAGCGTAAGTTAGCAAATTGCATAAGTGAGGAAGTTGCATGACCCTTTATAGTTCACAAGAGTGTGCCAGTGTGGGCTGGTGTGCTGCCCCACGCATGGCTCTTACTGTGGGGTATTCAGCTTCTGACTGATAGAAGCACTTCCTGCCTCATACCCTGGGGCTTAACACCCTTCTCATAGGCTGGGCTTTGTCTCCTCTCTTGCTATCACTTACTCCTTATCCTGGCCCAGGGCAAGTGTGACATTCTGCAGATAGGATTTTATGTGCCCAGCCACCTAAAGTGGAGACTCCGATGCTGAGGGTTGGGAGATACCCCCTGTTTGGCAACTGTTCTGCAGTATAACGTTAGGTGAAGCTTTACCCATTTTGAACGTCATTTTTCTCGTATGTAACAAAATATGGTTGGACTTTTGATTTCAAACTTTAAAAGTAGCAGAAAACTTAAAAAAAAAAAACAAAACTTGTATAATTGGCATCCCAATACATAAAGCAGTTATTAGTGATGTGGGTGAGGGTTCTGCCCAATTGCTCTTCCATCCACCTGTCTGGCACAGGTATCCTAAGTATCTTTGAATTCCTCTAGCTCTCAAATTTAATGACTCTAAAGCCAAGACCTGGCCCACCGTTGGAGCCTCCATGATACTTCTGGGTAATAGAATCAAGCAAGTATGAGGCCGTAGGGAGCAGGCTCAGGTTCCAGGGCTCTAGCCATGCCTCCAGCAGAGCAGCTTGGGATCCACCACCCCGACACCGCAGCTGTTCTCTGCCGGATCCTTGCAGAAATCGGGTCCCTCTTGGAGAGGATCCAGGACACACACCAGCTCTGTGTACTCCCTCCTCTCCCCAGGCCCCAGGAAACGCGTCCTCAGATGCGTGTAGAGGGGCTGAGGGCACCATGGAAGCCCTCTCATTTTCTCAGCAGCAGCCCTCCCCTGGCAGGACACCCTCCCTGCTATGAGGCCATGAGCTGAGGACCCTGGAAGTCACCTGTCTCTCTCATCCTAGGAGAAAGCCATCAGCATATGGGAATCCAAGAATTTCTTTTTTGACCTTGAGCCTCTCCCAGGGGCGGTGGAAGCTCTGAAGCAGATGGCCAGTCTAGAGAAGTAAGTGTGTCTTCAAGCCCACTGTCTGTACCTGCTTCCTACCATCACCGCTTGGCTCCTGTCCCCTTCGCTTTGCTTCCTTTCCTACTCGCTGTCACCCCCTGCACAAGGTCCTGCTTGTGTCATTGTGTCTGAAGCTGGCAGAACCTAACAGAACAAGACAGAATCCCTGTATATTTTTGTCAAGATGTTTAAATCCAGTAATGAGAAAAGATGGCTATCGACCTGATTCACTGGATGGTCAGAGTCCTTTCACCTGAGAACTGGCCCTCTGAGACACTGCTGGGCGCCAGTGTAAAGGAGTGAGCGCGAGGTGGTTCTCATGGAGCCTACAGTCCAGCCAGACAGCAGATGTGAAAGTAACACAAGCAAGGTGATCACAGATTGTGATCGGTGCTGAAAAGAAGTGCAGAGGAGAGCTTGCAAGACGTGGTTAAAGAGGCAGGAGTACTGCGAGAGACACTGGCTTATTCGAGTGAGATGATTGGTTCTGTGACTGAAACCCGACTCCATAACCTTTCCCCCCTGCCCTCTGAAGTCCTCAGCAGTTTTAGGTGATAACTTTAGATGGCTTTAAAAAAAAAACAGCCTTATTGAGATATATTTCACATATCAGATACCTATTTAAAATGTACAAGTCTGTGGTTTTTAATGTCTATAGAGTTGTGCAACCATCACCATAGTCAATTTCAGAATATTTCATCACCCCCCCAGCCCCCCACCGAAAAGAAACTTTATACCCATTAGCAGATCCAGTCCATTCCTGCCTTCCTCCTGTGGCTCTAGGTGACCAGTAATTTATGTCTATAGATTTGACTATTCTGGGCATTTCTTATAATTTGCAGGTTTTTGTCTGACTTTTTTTCATGCAGTATGTTCCCAGGGTTTACCCCTGTTGTAGCACAAATCAGACCTTTTCATTGCTCAGTAATACTCCATTCTGTGGATATGCCACATTTTGCTTCCCAGTTGATAGACAGTGGTTTGTTTCAACTTTTTAGATGTTAAGAATAACACTCCTGTAAACATTTATTTTCACATTTTCTTTGTGCTAGCTATTTGTTCTCATTCCTCTTAGACATATACCTTGGAGTAGAATTACTGAATAATATCACAAACATTTAACATTTTGGGGACTGCCAGTGGTTGCAAAGAGACTACACCATTTTACATTACTGTTAGCATAAGAGGATTCCATTTTTTCCACATCTTTCCCAACACTTGTTATTGTCTTTTTTATTCTAGTCATCTTTGTCAGTAAGTGCTATCTCTTTTTTGTGGTCTTGATTTGTTTGCATTTCTCTGAAGGTTAATGAAGTTAAGGCTCTTTCTGTGTGTTCATTAGTCATGGTATATCTTTTTTTTAGAAGTGTATTCAAATTCTTTACTAAATATTTTAATTTGGTTGTCTTCTATTACTGTCAACTTATATATTCTAGGAAACAAGTTCTTCTGATAAGATGTTTAGGTCCTATAATGAGGTATAATGGGTATTGACCTGGTTTACTAGGTATTCAAAGTTCATTTCATCTAAGAACTCACCTAGATACTGCTAGGCGCCAGTGTAAAGAAATGAGCAAGATACGATTGTAATGGAAGAAGCAAGTTTCTTGTTAGATATATTATTAGCAAATATGTTCTCTCATCCATGGACTGTTGCTTTACTTCCTTGATGATGCCCTTTGAAACACAATTTAAAAAAAAAAGATTTATTTCTTTGTGCATACAAGAACTGGAGTGTAGGGCAGAGGTGTGGGGGTGGGTGGGTGGGAGGATTCACCAGAGACAAGAACAGAACAGGTGAACTGACTGAAATACACTGCTGAGGGGAGCAGTGGGTGGACAGAAGAGGTCTGCTGTGCCATGTGGGTCAGCTCCCTGGAAAGGGATCAAATTTGTGCTGCAGTGGCTGAGGATTGCTTCATAGTGCTGAGACTTAACCCCTTGCGCCATCCAGGAGGCCAGGAACTCAAATGTTTTTACTTTGAAGTTCAGTTTGTTCTTTTCTTTTGTCACCTGTTTTTAGTGTTGTGTCAAGGATCCTTTGCTTCATTCAAGGTCACAAAGATTTTTCTCCTATGAGCTTTGTAATTTTAGTTCTTACATTTGGGCTTGGTACATTTTGAGTAGATTTTTACATATGGTATAAGGACGAAGTCCCATTTCTTTCTTTTGCATGTGGGTATCACATAAAAAAAACATTTGTTGAAAAGATTCCTACCTCTGTTGAATTGTCTTGGCATCTTTGTCAATAAACAATTGATTATAAATGTGGGATTTATTTCTGGACCTGTACAACTTTTATTGGTTACCATTTACTTAAACTTGTAAAACCTGAATGACAAATCATATATGAAGTGATTTGGACTTCATTGTACCATACAACACCTTACCTAAATTGTCTGCTTTCAAAGTTCAAACATGATACATTGACATTAGAGGAATATAAGTTGAGTTGAGTGGTAGATTTGTTTTGTCAGTAATTTACCTTTGTACATGAGTCCACATCTTTTCGAATAGTATATTTTATTTTGGTGTGAAATAGTTGTGGAGTACAGTCATGTCATATAAATTTTCCATCTATTGCTAAAGCCCAGAGAAGCAAAGAGTGTTTGTTTTATGTTTTCTTTTCACGGCAGCTTTTCAGAAATCTACTCTTTGTCTAGGTCAGCTTTTTCCTGGACCATATTTATGGACTGTATTTGGGGAGCTGGATAGTGTGGTGGTCAAGGTGGGGGGGGTGTCTAGCCTGTCCAGCTTAGGACTGGGCTCCTTGAGACTCTTGACTCTCAGACATTGGGCAAGTTATTAAACTTTCTGGGTCCTGCTGTCTTCATGTAAGCAAAAAAATGAGCATGACACATAGGTGCCCAGTAAATGTTCACTGCTGCTGTTCCTATTCTGCAAAAAATGTGATATGTATGTAACAAGAAAAACATTCTTTAACCAAAGCAGTATAGGAGACATTGGATTAAGAAGGTTTATTTCCTGTAGGCTTTTCTGTAGTTTACTAATGTGCATTGTGCTACTTCATTGGGGTACTAGAGACAGTTTCTTCAAATGTAGTTGAGCCTGGAACCCTTTCTTCCTACATCTTCCTGCTAAATTGCAGAAATTCCAGTCTGGGAATGCAAGCCTACACCACACTGTTGGGCCTTTATGGTCCCTTAGGCTCTTAGCTGGTTGGAAGATTCCTATGGTTGATCAGTGCCCAAAGCTTGGACAAAAAGAGATGTCTTTTCATTATCTACATGGCTAGCTGTGTGTCTTCTGCGGAAGTGGACAGAGACCAACATTTAAAATGTAGTTTACTAGATATTTATAGGCTCCTGCCACATGCCAGACCTCGTGCCACGTGCCGTGCTAGAGAAGTAGATGAGGAACTGTTTCTGTCTTTGAAGAGCTCACTGGGAAGCAGGGACTAGGGCCTGGGTCCGGCAGTGCTGCACAGGGGTGGGGGTGAGAATGCAGACAGCAGGCCCAGTACTCAGCGGGGAGGCGGGACCCTTCAGCCTTCATCTTGCAGAATGAGCAGGAGCCACCAGGCAGGAGGCAAGAGGGCTGTGGGCAGGAGGGGCGCTGTGAGCGGAGAGTGCTCTGCCCGCCCAGGGCCTGTCCTTGGGCCGCCCAGGCACTGCCGGTATCCGGAAGAGCTTACTTGAAATCTCGTCAGTGGCCACTGGTCTTTTCTTTATTATTTAGTTATACATGAGTGCATTCTTAGAAAAATTCCTGTGATGTGAACATGTTTGGAAACAATGTGAGCTCCTGTTTCCTCGTTCTCCCACATGAGCTCCTGTTTCCTCGTTCTCCCACATGTATTGCCGTCAATCCCACTCTTTTTGTCCTCATCACAGTTTGGGTATGCTTCCAGGTCCTTTGAAATGTATTTGCACTCAGGTCTGTATACAGACTTGTAAATTTGTATGTTCTGTCCAGCAGCCAGCATGATTAAAAAAAAATTTACTTATGCATACAAGAACTGGGGTGCAGGCCAGAAGTGCAGGGGGTGAGAGGATTTACCAGGGACAGAGTGGGGAGCAGAACAGGTGGACTGACCGAAATACACTGCTGAGGGGAGCAGAGGTGAGACATGTGGACCTCCGTGTCCAGGAGTCGAACTCCTGCCTCAATGGCTGCAGACAGCCTCACAGTGCTGCACTCAACCCCTTGTGCCACCAAGGAGGGCCCAGCCAGCTGATTTATAGCAGCAAATTTTGGTGATCGTATAGCCTCTTGAGATAATTGGTGGGTCTAACTATTACACTAAAATAAACATGTTGGCCAGCCAGGTCCATAAAGCAGTCTGTGTCCTGACCCTGCTGTCCTCTCTGACCTCTTTCTCCCTGCTCTGGGCAAACTGAGAGCAAACTTACTCTCTGCTCTGTGGGATGTGCCAAGCTTGGCCCATTCTACTGGAACGTTCCTCCCCTGGTTCTTTGCATGGACACGTGCTTTTTGTCCTTTAGTGCCCAGCACCTTGGGTGTCACCTCCTCTCAGAGAACTTCTCTAACCGCTGCCCTCCCCCCATCATCCTGCCTCGCTGCCCCAGGCACCCACTCATAGCTGAAATGTGCCCAGGACTGCCTCTTGCTCCTGCCGGTGTCAGGGCCCTGAGGCCCGGGGTGGTGGTGGTGGCTATACTCTCCGTCCCTAGAGTGACACCTGGCGCATGGAACAATTTCAGGTATTTGTTGAGTGAATAACTGTGTATATGTACATATTCGCAGAACAGTTGCCGATGCTTGCTTTAAGCAGGAATGGGGTTGTGTGTATAGTTTTGGGTCTTTCTCTTTTTCATGTAACAATTTGGGTTAGGTATCTTTCCACATCAGTACAATAGAGATGTCTTTTTATCTTTAATTGTGAAGTAGTATTTTATTGTACACATGTACCATATTTATTTGGGGTTGCCATATAGACATTTAAGTCATTTCTCATTTTTCCTGTTCAGCAGGCTGTGCTGAGAGTCTTGATGAATGTGGGTAGATATTTCTGCACCGCAGTGGACTCGCTGGATCAAAGTCATGCCCAGTCAATGTTCTGATAGATTCTCAGTGGTGTTCTCTTAGCAGATGAACATACACAGCAGCCAGCATGGTGCATTCCACATAAAATGCCCTCCGTCAACATGAGTTGCCCTTTGAAGGTGCACTTGATATGTTAAAGTGGCCAAAACTTATTTGGAGTCAGTGCCAGCAAGTAAGTGGGGTCTGTCTGAACCTCCCTAATGCTTGGAACGTAATAGAGTTTACTGTATGTTGAGTAAGAGAAACCCATGATGTCTGAAGCAGTGGGTACTTTCTCAGGGGTCAGCCCACTGACAGCAGTGGGCAAGGACAGCAGGGGCCTGTCCAGAAGGGGCTGTCCAGGGCTAGGGATCTGAAGGAGGAAAGCTGTGGAAGTGCCAGTGGAGAACAAAGCAGGCTCTTCCCTGCCGTCCCTCTCTGAGATGCGTGGGCTTGAGCCTGGGCAGCTTTCACTCCAGGTGCTCAGGAAGAGGTCCTTCATGAGCGGCCAGCTCTCAGGGAGGAGAGGCTGAGTGTCTGGGTGTGGGGGAGCGTGAGAGTCTGGGCTCCTGGTAACAGCAGGCATGTGTTTTCTGCCCAGGGACCTGGCAGTCTGACTCAGGGCTCCCCGGGGACTCATTTACCAGAGAGAAAAAGGAAAACGAAAATCCAGCTCTCTCTTGGCTCCATTTGATGAGCCAACAGATGCCAGTTCCAGAGGCAGATGCCGGCTTGTCGGGAGGTTTGGGACCAGATGGCTCTGTTGGCGAGCGGGCTGGGGCAGTGGGCAGAGCAGGTCCACTGCCCTCCAGCCAGCTCCACCTTGTGCACAGAACCACAGACTGTGGGAGGGTCGTTCCTCATCCCTAACACCTGTCCTGCGGGGAGCTCGGCCCAGATGGACCAGGGCTCCTTCCCTTTGCCTCCACAGCCCGGGGATTGCTAGAAGTCTTCTTTTGGCTTTCCTCTGTTGCATGAAGCTTTGTATCTCCTGCAAAAAGCTGACTCTGCTTGATGCCTTGCTAAAAGCAGTGAAACAGTAAAAAACTACTGTCTCCGTAGTTCCCTGCTCCTAACAACAAAGAGGACAGCTGATGAGCTCTGCTACCTGTTTGGGTCTGACTATGCAGAATTGTCCTAAGTCAGATGCCACTTTTCATAAGCTGGTTGTCTAGACAAGGGGTAGGGTCACACTCTGTTGCCCAGGACAGTGGACAGGGCAGGCGGTGGGTTTTCCATTCAAGGTGACAGACCAGCCCTAGAGGGCCCCACAGCCCCAGGTCAGGACGGGGGCCGGAGGGTGATGAAGGTGACCATGTGGGCTGACAGATTCTCCTTTTTCTTTTTGCAGCACTGACGTCTTCATCTGCACGAGCCCCATCAAGATGTACAAGTACTGTCCATATGAGAAGGTGAGACATAGCCTATAGAGTGGGCCTGGGCTCTTGGCCTTTCCTCTGTTACCCCACGCGTCTCAGGTGAAGTGCTGCCCTCAGAGAGCCAGCAGGAAGGACACGCACCCGGCGCCTCCCCTCCCAGCACTCCCAGGGGGCCGGCCACCTGCGTGGCCTGCTTTCTGCCTCTTCTCCCATGCTGCTTCCTGCCTCTGAGTCAGGAGCTCCTCCCGCTCCTCTGGAGCCAGCTGGAAATCCCATCCCCATCTCCATTTCTGAGCTGCACTTTGCTCGTAGCCTGGCCACGTGGCGCCCTGAGAGCGCCGTATCAGGGAGTGGGGCGCACTGTGCTGTGCCTGAGGCCCTGTCCTCTGTCCCTCCCAGTCCCCTGCTCTCCACAGCGTCTGCACACACGCTTCAGCCACCAGGGACTCGTTTCTTGAACTTGACACTTGTCCCCCTAGGTCTTGAGAGAGCACCACCCCTGAAAGTCCTAATGATCCTTTTGCTACCTGTAGTCCAGATACAGACATCTTGACAGATTCTCACTTAGAAATAAAGGCACCATTGTACAGCTGACCAACTGAATTCATTTGGGCTGACTGCTTTACCCCCAAGTGTTTTTCCCGGAACCAAAGTCAAGCAGGTGAACAGTGAGCAGCCCTTCTCCTCCCAAACAGCAGCTAATGAACCTAATAAAAGATGCTCACCCATGTCTTGCCCCATCCTCAGAGGCTCCCTCTGACTCCTGGCCTGGCCGAGGCTCTAGCTGAGCCTGACTTAGCGCCTCAGATCTGTGACCCACCTGTAAGCTCCTGGACTTAACCTCGCAGAACTTTGGTTTCTTGCAGACATAGTAAAACCTCTCACAGTCATTATTTAAGAAAATTGAGATGTTTATGTGTTGAAAAGCTGTAAATGCCACCCCCTTGTTATCAACCTGTCCCAAATTTCCCCAGTCCAGGGTGAAGAAAGAACGGACCTCAGCACACCTTTCTCCAGCCAGAAGCCTGGACAGTTCTAGAGTCCACTAATGTTTCCCTTATTCTTGAATCCAGGAAAAATCAATTATATGCAAAATAGCCTACATTATTTAATTACAACAATGTTTTAAAAAAAAAGCTGCATATTTCTTTTAAAAGGAGGGGAGTCAGCTGAGTGTCAATGTTTCTTTCTCTTAAGTTCCCCTGATTTCCCAAAATGTCCTTGTTAAGCTATTACTTTTGAAACAAAGTGAAAATGCTTCTTTGGTGGACAGACATTTACTGAGCACCTGCTACAATGCTTAGAAAAGGGCCTGGCTCTTTGTCCAAACACTGGTGAGCATGGTGGAAAGAGAGATGGTATCATGCAGGAGGAGGGAACCAGGACGGGCGTCCCTGGAAAAGAAAGAATTGAGTCAAGTCATGGAAACGAGGGGCAGGGAAGTGGGCAGAGGGGCTGAGAGTTGGCAGTGTGTGAAGAGCAAAGGGCCACGAGGGGCTTGGCTTGGCTGAGGAGGGGGGTGGGGCTGGGGGTCCTGTGCAAGAGGAAGGAAGAGAGCGCTGAGGCTGGGTAGTTTGGCGCAGCCTGAGAGGCCTTGGAGGGATTTCAAGCGGAAGGCCATGGGCCCCACTGCTGCTGGGAACGCTGCCTGCGTCCTTGCAGGCAGGATCACCCCAGCCTGGAGCTACGCAGAGGCTGCGGCAGGGCTCCAGGTGAGGTGGAATAACCTAAACCGGACCCAGGGGGGCCGGCAGTGGTGCGAGGGAGCAATTCCTACCCCTGCCTCGTTGTGCACGGCCTGGCACCCCTGACACGGCAGGGTGGCCACACTGGGGAGCGCGTGACAAGGGAGGGCTCACACAGGAGGCACTGGCCTGGCATGGGGCGGGCTCCTCCCTCACAAACTGCTCTGAGCCTCGGTTTTTGATCTGTGCAGAATACATCCACGGTGACAGGACCTGTCAAAAATGTCAGTCTAGCTGTGAAATTTTCCTGAATGAAATGCCTAGTTCGGGGCCTGTCCAGTTGGGCTCTGCAGGTGGGCGCTGCCCCAGATAATTGGGCCAAGCACATGTTGGGATTTCCCATCTTGCAAAAGAGGGCAACTGGAAAGTCAACACCAAAAACCACGGGTCCTTCTCCAAAGTCTGTCCGGAGTCCGTGAACCACGGCTCTAAGGGGTCCCTGTGTAGTCTCTCTGCCTGGCCTGTATGGCCCTGCCCTCCACCCGTCTTCTCTGCCTGCTCCCCTAGTTCCCTGACAAAAGCCCTCAAAGACCCATGGGGTCCCTGCTGAAGAGTACCCTGCTCTGCCACCAGGCAGGGCCACCCCCTGCCACGGCCCCTTGCCTCTTGCCTCGGAGCCCCTGTTACACCCGAGGCTCCCTGCTGGCCAGCTATTGGGCGTCCCCTCCCACGAGAATTCACGGCAGTGTCTCTCTGGTCCCCGAACCCGCACTCACGGAGCCAGAGCTAAGCCATTATGGGCCAGGAGCTCACTGCCGGCCTTGTGGGTTGTCACCGCAGGAAGAGTGACAATGCCCTCTGGAGGGTCTGTGCTGTAGCCAGGGTGCTGGCCTCTCCTGTGCCCACACTTCCCTGCTCACCCCAGCAGGCTGCCTGGCCCCAGGTGTCCAGGGCCCTGTCTCTTGGCATGGAATGGGGAGCCTCACCTTGCCGGATGGGCAGGTGGTCAGCTCACTTGACGCAACCCGGCTACAGTGGGCCTGTCAGTGAGCCTGAGGCAGCCTATTGTCTCATGGGGGCTCTTGCTGAGGCAGGTGGCAGCTGGGCCCTCTGTGACTCTGGATGTTTGGAGAGTCCAAAACTGGGCCGGAGGGAGGCAAAAAGGACAGGGTCTGTGTCTGGGTCATGGGTCTGCAGAATCAGTGCCTTCTTCCTTGGGCAGGACTGGCCGAAGGGCCCCTCCCTTCTTCCTGTGTTTGATTTTGGTGCATCCTTCCTCTCACTCAGTATTCATGACACGTGGCCCCTGACCTCAAGGAATTTACAGTCAAGTGGGCAGACAGATGTGAAACGAGAGATTATGCACACCACTCTGACCACTGCTATGGAGGACGGACTGCTGATGAGGGGTGTGTGTGTGTGTGTGTGTGTATGAGAGAGAGAGAGAAGGCACGGTGTGGGGGTGTTCTGGGCTGGGCATATCTCCTGTGAGACCTCTGAGGCAGGAAAAAGCACAGCATGGTTGCAAAGTCCAGAGACGACCCTGCAGGGACACAGAAAGCATGGGGCCAGCCCTGGAAGCGGCGCTGGGCCCAAGCGGGGCTACCTGCCCCTGCCCAGCAGTGCGGGGATCGGGGTGTCTCTCTGCCTTGCCTCACGAGCTGACTGCCTTCTGCCTCTCAAATGACTCTGCCCTTGTGCACTAGCAGGCTCTCTCCTTCTGGAAACCATCCATAGTTCAAGGGCTAAATCTCATTCTCTTGGACACCTCTGAGGGGAAAACAGGCTTGGTGAGGTCTCAGCACAGTGACCCTTCAGCCATTATGGAACAATCTGTGGTGCGTGCTCTGCCCCCCTCATTTCACAGGTGGGGGTCGGGGTGGCCAGGGCCCAGCAGCCAGATGGCTGTAGGCCACACAAAACTACTCTGCAGGCCAGGGCCTGTCTCGTTTGACCTCCATGCCAGAGTCAGAAGGAGCCTGTCCGACCCTGTCCCTCTTCTACCTAAATGGAACCTCCCCTTGGTTAAAATCCAGCAACCGAACAGGGTCTGTCCATTCATGAGTTAGTCTGCAGTTAACTACGAAACTGGGAAGACCCCGGGGCTGGGCCTGTGATCTGGAGCTCCCTGCTGCCGGCCTGCCAGGGACTAGTCTTGTCTTTCAGTGTCTGCTGTGCCACTGAGCCCGGTGAGCTTAGCGACTATGCCCGCCAGGTGGCGACAGTAGGAGCACCTGGAGGGAGTGGCTGGGACCCATCTCAGATGCTTCCGTTGTGGGAGGGCGCCCTGTAGAGCACGCAGGAGGACGGGGGCGCTTCAGGCCAGTGACCGCAGCGCAGGACCTTGTGCGGGGCTTGTCCTAGCCTGCTCCCCGCAACCCCACTCCTCCCACTCATGATACTAGTACCCCACTTTACTGAGCCCCCAGGCATACCTCTGCCTACCAGCAGCCCACACTCACCACCTGCCTGAGAGGTGCTCCTTGTGACTCCAGTTTGCAAGTGGCTTCCTGAGTCACCCTGTGGCTCACCCAGGACGGGACGCACCTGCGGGCCAGGGCCCTGCCGTCAGGGGCTCCTCAGTGGCACCTTCCCGGGTATCATGTGCCAGAGGGCTTCAGTGGGCTCATGCACCCTGTCCCCTTCTTCTGCCCAGACACTAAGAATGCAGTGCCCGTGGGGACCTCCGAGGCCTTTGGCTGCCACATGTGTGGAGCAGCTGCAGGAGCCCGTTGTGGGAGGTGGCCCGTGCCAGGGTGGGGCTGTGTGGGGGAGTCTGCTCTTGGCGGTGGTCCTGGTGCGAGTGGCCGTCCACTTGCACAGTCTCCTCGGCTGCGGGGGCTGGTGCTGTCTCGTCGCGACCTCCCACCTGCAGGCGGTGCGGCTGCGCTCAGGTCAGGTGACGCCCCCTCTCTTTGCTGCCGTGTTTCAGTACGCCTGGGTGGAGAAGCACTTTGGTTCTGACTTTCTGGAGCATATCGTGCTGACCAGAGACAAGACTGTGGTCTCTGCTGACCTTCTCATAGACGACCGGCTGGACATCACAGGCAAGTGTCCTGGGGCAGGTGAGCTGCACCTCAACCTCCACCTCCCCCTGCATGGGAAGCCCCAGATATGTACTGGGTGTCCAGCCTGAGCTTGGCACTGGGTCTCTTCCCTTCTGGGAACACAAGGTTGTTTCTGATATCCGGCCTTGGAAGGGACACCACTGGGAGCTGGCAGAAGTGGGTGCCAGCTCCTGGGGTAAGATGCTGGGGGATCCTGGTGAGTCCTTTTATTCCTTGAAGCCCTGCCTTCTTCGTGTAAAAGGAGGGATGGACTCTGGCTTCCAAATATTTGTTTTTAGCACAGAACCCTTTCTGCTCCCCAAAACAATTTGGAATGAGTCTAACATGTAAGCATCATTTCTCCAGTTTAAGGCGATTTGTGTGTTGCATTTGTTTGTTTGTTTCTGCATATGAATTCCCACCTCTCAAATAAGAAAACAAATAAACTTAAACTGACTCACAAAGGGAAGGGCAAAGTCGGACAGGAGGGCTTCGGGTACGGCTAGATCTAGATAAATTCAGCTCTTGGTCTCCTGGCTCTGCTTTGCCTGCCTTTGTGCTCTGACAGGCTCTCTCCTGGAGACCGTCTGTAACCCTGTTCTCTGGGACACCTCAGTGGGAAAACAGAATGTTTCTTCCCCGCTGTGTTTTGAGCTAGCTTAGAAAACAGGCTCATTCCTAAACTCATCACTTTGTCCAGAGGCAGAAGGCACAGGTGTGCCCAGCCCTGATCTACTGGGTTGTACAGCTTCCTGGGGGGCCCAGGGCACGCAGGCTGGTAGCCAAGGGACTCCGAGGCCCACTCAGCCCATCCCCAACCACGGAGAGCGGGAGAAGGGCCCCTTCAGGAGCTGGGGGCGTCGCCATATCCCTAGGGTTGGGGTCAGACCAGCATTGCTCCCGTGAACTTGAGGGGTTGGGGCAGGGAGGTTGTGGGGCCCATGGCCCACAGTTGCAAGCTGCCGAGTGCAGGATGATTGGGGCACAGGCCAGGGGAGGGCGGGGTATCGGGGCTGAGCGTACAGCGCTTACCCGGGTCACTGGATCATGATGGTGCTGGTGGCGGCCATTGTAGTCCCTGCCGAGCGCCTCTGTGCACTGTGCCAGGTGCTTTGTGGGGCACCCTGTTTAATCCTGGCAGCCCCCACGAGATGGGTGCCAGCACACTTCGGTACCAGCGGGGAAACCAATTCTCAGAGGCCAGCGGCTTCTCTCAGGACACGCTCCCTGTCTCCTAACCCTGACCCAAAGCGCTGCTTTCCTACCCACAGGGGCCGAGCCCAACCCCGACTGGGAGCACATCCTCTTCACGGCATGCCACAACCGGCACGTGCAGCTGCAGCCCCCGAACCGTAGGCTGCACTCGTGGACGGACGACTGGAAGGCCATTCTGGACAGCAAGCGGCCCCGCTGACTCCGGTGTTCCCGGCTCCCCCTTGGGGCCTGCGACCTCAGGACTCCCAGTGCTGGCCTGGGGGCTAGTGATTTGGCTGGGGGCTCCGTCTCAAACCTCCAGGCCCCTGTCTGGCCTTAACTGATGTTGGGGCAGAGCTGGCCTCAGGGCCCTGGACAGTCACATGAAGCCGGACTGCCCAAGGTTGACCTCGGGCTGTGGCCGGACACCCAGGTCTGGGGAGCCAAGGGCGTTGGCAGCAGCCGGCAGTCCTCCCCACCTCAGGGAAGCTCCCTCCCCGGTCTGCAGCCCGCCCGGTCAGTGTGGAGTGCTAGCCGCAGGGTGGTTAACAGGCGAGACGCGAAGAAGCAGGTGGGGGTGAGCCCCTCACATCCTCAACACAGCCCCCCAACTACTGACTGTTCAGCTGATGTCCACAAGACCCACCATGTGTTCAGCATCCAGTCGCTGAGTCTTGGGGCAGCCAGGCCCTTTGGCGGGCACCAGGCAGCCCTGACTGTCAGCTCAGAGGCCCTGCGTAGGGCCCAGTGACCTCAGTGGACTCAGGCATGACAAATAAATGCTGTCCACATGTGGCTTGAGACCGTGGCCCCCTCTTCCCCCTCACCCCTTCACCCAGGGGGCCCCCGCGTGGGGTCCTGAGTCATCCCCCTGCACCTGGAGAGGGAGCCTGCGGTCAGCCCAGTGGCGGCAGAGCTGAGCCGGGGGGCAGAGCTGAGCCGCAGCCCCGGCGGGCCCTCCACCCCATCTGTGCTGACTGGCACTCCTGTCCTGCCTCTCAGATGCCTCCTCCCCAGCCTGCCCTCCTGGACACTCTGCACACTCAGAGCAAGATGTCCGCCTCTGCCCCTGTCCCAGGCTCCTGTCCACCCTTGGAGCTCAGTGCGGAGGCAGCAGCTGATGTTAGGTCTTCTGTTTTGTTCCTTAGGACCACTGGGAGCAGCAGCGTGACCCCCCCCATCTCTCTCTCTCTCTCTCTCTCTCTCTCTCTCTCTCTCTCTCACACACACACACACACACACACACACACACACTTTCTCCCAGGGGTCTTCAGTCTTCCTGGTTTTCAAAAGATATTTTTATTTATGCATATAAGAACTGGGTTGTAGGCCAGAGGCGTTGGGTTGGGGGGGTGGTGAGAAGATTCATCAAAGACAGAGTGGGGTACAGAATAGCCGGATTGACTGAAATACACTGCCGAGAGGAGCAGTGGGTGAGACAGGAAAGGTCTGCTGCGCCATGTGGGTCTGTGCCCTGGCCCTGGTTGGAGATCAAGCTTGGTGCGTCAGTGACTGTGAGAGCTTCATAGTGCTGAGGCAAGCCCTGGCGCCACCAGGGAGGCCCAATCTTCCTTCCTGGACTCTACCCTCTGCTCACTCCATCATCACCCTGGCAGGGAACCCCTAGTATGCCCCATCTCTGGAGTCCTTCTGTCAGACTTTCTGCTTTCTGTGAGGTCCCCTGGAGGGTCAGGTAGGACAGAGGCGAGGCAAGGGTCCCCAGGCCCAGGGCTGGCCGAGCTGTCGAGCTGGCTGAGGTCAGGACCTCAGGAGCCTGCCTTGGCCACCCGCCTAGGGAGGAAGGGCTCCTGTCTGCATGGCCAGAGGCAGCACCTTTATTCATGACTGGCTCTATGCCCCTCTGCGGGGGTCCATCCTGATGAGGAGTTTGAGTTACAGCACAGAAACTCCAAAGCCTTAAATTCTCTTTGTTCTGTGCCCAGCTAGAATCATCTGCCTTGAGGTGGTAGCCACTTACGCTATTTGATTCGTTTCAGGGGAGAAAGAAAAAGCACAGGGGTAATATGCTTTGATTGATGCTTCTGAACATGGGCCTGGCAGACGAGGCACTTAGAGCAAGCTTGCCCAGCAGGGCGAGGCACCCCCTGGTGCCAGGGTGCCTTTCGCAGGGTTGGGATGACTGAGGCTGAGGAGGAGATGGGAGAGCCCTCCTGACTGGAGGGAGGCCGGCAGTGCAGAGGCTGGGTCAGGGGCTGCTGCAGAAGGTGGGAGAGAGGGAGGGAGGGAGGCCAGAGCTGGAGCCTGGAGAGAGGAAGTGGGTCTGAGGGAGCTGCCTGCCCTGGGCAAGGGAAAGCGCACCTGACCTTGCTTGGCCAGGGCCGAAAAGCTCTATGGTTCTCTTGTCAAACTGGATACAGCCGTTGGGACTAAGCGTATGTCTTGCTTCAGAATCATGTAATGAACCTCCAACAAGGACATGGCACCCCCTCACCAGGAGCGGGGTGGCCTTGCCGGAGCCCGGGTTGGGTCAGTGCTGCCGCTCACCTTCAGGGGCTGGTCTGGAACTATCTCAGCTCCCATCAGAAGTAGAACTGTCCAGGGCTCTGGCCTGGGAGTGATGGCCCCCAGTTAGCCAGGGCTTAGTGGTTTTTTCCTCTTCTGGGTCGGTTTCCCCAGTTGGGACCCACTCTGTTACCACAGCAAAATGACAACAGGCACTTAGCACTGCTGCGTTCTGGGCCTGGCGAGCACTTCTCGGATCCCCTCTCCTCAACTGTGGTGTCCAGAGCGGGTGACGCTGGCGTGTTGGGCCAGCAGTGTGGGATTAGCCTGGGCAGCCTTGCTGTGGGACTTGCTGTGGCCTCTGCACAGCGCTCTAGGGCAGGTCTCCCCAGAAGGTGGATACCCAGGCAAGGTCTGGGGGGTGAGGGGACACAGATGGGCCAGGCCAGAGCAGGGTGCATGTCTCAGGACAAGCCTGAGGAGGGGCTGTTGAGGTGGGAGGCCACCTGGGCATAGGTGATGGAGCATGCTCCTTGTAAACACCCTCACTGTTAGCCCCTCCTCCTCCCCTCAGGAGATTCCTGAGTCTCCTGCCCAAGGAAAGGCAGGACAAGTGTTACCTAGAGCAAGATGTCTGTGGGTGAAGAAAGGAGATGGCAGGGCAGCCATGTGGGCTGAGGCCCCGGCCAGAGTGAGGAGCCAAGTCCCGGGTGGTGCCCTGCACCCATGTGTTAGCTCTGAAGTGTCCACGTTGGGAGGAGGGCGAGAAAGAGGGATCCCAGCCCAAACCCCTGATGGCTGAGCAGGTGGGCTCCACACAGCAGGGAGCCCTTGAGCAGAAGAACCCCCCATTCCTCCTCCAGTGGCTGGAAAAGTGGAGAATAGAATTGAGAAGGGTGAGAATGTTAGCGGGAGTGTAAGGGATCAGGGGGAATAAAAGATATATATTTGTAATAAAGCAAAAATGAACATCAACTAGCAACTATAAGCCAGAGACATTGGACAGGGGCAGAGAGGGGGACAGGATCAAAGTGGGGGCAGGAAGAGCGCACGGGACTATGGTGATGGCACATGGGTGAAGTGGTGGCGGGAAGTCCATGGGGATTATCACTGAGATGAAAAAATGTACAAAATGAAGAATAATGTAAAAAAAAATGTATGTATACATGAATAGGGAAGATAGGAAACTGTTTCTATCCAGAAAGATACATTCATTTAAAAAAAAGAAGAATGAGGATGCGTGGGAGGATGGCGGATGAGGATACTGGCCTGAGCTCAGCAGGTGTTCACCAGGGAGAGGCAGGTGACCACGGACCCCCTGCGGGCTGAGTGTGGCAGGGGGCCCCATCTGGCTGGGCTGAGAGCAGGCTCCTCACCCCCTGTGCAGGTTGCAGCAGCTGGGCAGAGGCTCCTGGGCAGGGTGGGCAGCAGGGCCCTGCCCCCAGCAGAGGCAGGCTGGATGTCCTCTTGTCAGAGACGGAAGGGAAGGGGATCTCTGGAGGGGGCTGGGGATCAGCTCCTCCTGGGAGTGGGGACTTTGAAGTACTTCTGGAAAGAGCCCGAGTTAGACCGAAGAAGGTCATTTCAAGAAGGAAAGGGTCTGAGTTCATTTCCACTGGCGAACTCTCATAAAAACCATGACTGCTTGTAGTTGATAATGAGCACATATATGAGCACACACCTGAGCTTTATAGCATGTCTGTGTGGTCTTTCCCGCCGGCACCAGGGCTGGGGACAACCTGGGGGCCCAGCCAGCAGGCTGTGGGGACGAAGGGAGGCACAGGCAGCGGGAGGAGCCCGGCACTGGGGCCTTGACACCTGCCTCCGTGGCTCTGCAGTTACTCTTCCCTGAGTCCGTTTCCAGATGGCCAGCCTCCAAGAGAAACGTGGAAATCACAACATTTATTCTAGAAGTTACCACTCAGGCCCTCCGTGGTGGCACAGCAGATTAAAGTGCAGCACTGTGAGCTGGCCACAGCCCCTGAAGTGTGGAGTTGGGTTCCCGGTCTCGGAGGAGACCCACATGGCACAGCAGACCTCTCCTGTCTCATCTGCCGCTCCCCTCAGCAGTGTACTTCAGCAATCGGCCTGTTCTCCTCCCCGCTCTGTCTCTGGTGAATCCTCTCACTGCCTCTGCACCTCCGGCCTATACCCCAGTTCTGTATGAATAAGTAAATAAATCTTTTTTAAAAAATGAAGTTACTGCTCAGTGGAGGAAACACTTGGGCTGTGAAAGGGAAGAAAGGTGCTCTGGAGACCCCTGTGGGGACCAGGGGCACTTGTCCTGATGTGGTCACCAGGTGCCAGCATGGCCCACTTGAAACTCTCAAGTGTTGGCGGGGGGAAAGAGAGAGAGAGAGAAGAAGGATGCTGGCAGGCAGTGACTTCAAAGGCATCTGCAGGGAGGGGTGGGAAGGGTCAGCTTCCTCAGTCCCCATCTCACTCCTGACCAGCTCGTCCTGCATCTTAGGAACCTTGTCTCCAGCCACACCTCTCGCTCTCCCACCACCCAAGGTCCTCACGGCGGCCAGAGGAGAAAAGTCATCCTGTGTCCAGTCAGGAGTCTGTGCAGGTCGTAGTCCAGACTTGGCTTGCATTTTCCCCAGCACTGAGGGTGAAGTGGACACTCCTGAGCACGCGAGGACCCTCCATGATCCAGCCTGCCCCTCTATTGCTCGGCTGCTCCCACTCTTGTGTCTGCATGTAGGTCGCTCTTTCTGGAGGGCTTCTAGCTGCTGTGTCCCGCCACAGGAATGAAGGGCTGGTGGCTGCCAGCAGCTGCATCTGTAGGTTTTTATCCGGAGCTCCCTGGCTCTGGGGACGGGGCTTTGGAAAGGGAGTGGCTGGCCACAAAGCTGGATCCTCAAAGTCTTGTCTGGGCTTTAGGAAGCCCCTAAACCAGCGCATGCTGGCACTGTGAAAAGTTATTCTTCCGGTAGAAATGTGTAGAAACAACCGAGAAATAAATCATGTCCCTAGCAAATATCTATGCCCCTTTGGAAAATTAAAAAGAATCCTTGCTTAGATGGGGCAGAGCTGGCTTAGACCCAAAGGCCATGGCCTAGATGGAACCAGAGAAAATCAGGACACTTAAACTTTAGAAACTGACAGAGAAAATGCGACTGAGGAAACGCAGCCTGTGAGTCAAACAGGCTGTGGGCAGAAAACCATGTTCTCTCCCCAACTCTGCAGCTTCCTGGGGGCCAAGGTCCTTTCGCTGAAGAACAGGCCGTTTGGGGGCTGCAGTTAACACAAATGACCACACGATGGCGCCAGAGGACCGGCTCGGAGGTCTCGGTCCCGGGCGCTGGCTGGCTGATCCTCTGGACCCA